AAGAGCTCCCCGGGCGCCCCCCTTGGGTCGGCGGTGGACAAGCCTCCCTCTAGTAAACCCCCCCTTAGTGAGAACGGCCTGGGACTGAAACCGACGGACCTGGGCCCGCAAAACTGACGGCCGCGACGCAGTCTCTCGCGAAGCGAACACGACCCATTCCCGAATCGACGCGTCGGGGTAGGAGGTCCGTCCGCCCCCGATGGGGGCCTGGGGCCTCTGGGCGCCCACAGGCCACCGCCGGCCCGAGGAGAGCTCCGGGCCCTCCGATCGGAAGCGGCCAAGAGGGGGGCGTCCAAGAGGGGGGGGGGTGCAAATCATGACCGGCGGCACGTGCGCGGCCCAGCGGGGGGGCCAGGGACGTGATGAAACAAGAATAAGAAGGGGCACCATGAAATCTGGGGAAATATCCTGGCCCCCTCCATGAGATCCACCCCCCCCTAGCCATCACCCCCCTCTTTTCCGCCCCCGACCTCCGGGAGCCGCGCCCGCGACCTCCCGGGGCGCTGCCAGCCCGGGCCCGCCGCGAGCCCGCCTTAGGGGGCTCGGGCCGTGCGTCGAGGCCGCCGCGGAGAGCCCCGGGCGCCCACAGGCCGCCGCTGGGCCCGAGGAGAGCCCGCGACGGCCCTCCGCCCGCGACCTCACGGGGCGCCGCCCGCGCCGCCCGCCGCGAGCCCGCCTTAGGGTGCTCGGGCCGTGCCGCGAGGCCGCCGCGGGCGGCAAGGGGCCTCCGCGGCCCCGAGGCCGCGCGGCCAGGCTTAAGTCGGGCCTGTCCCCCTGCAGGGGGATCTTCGACGAAAAATAAAAGGTACCCCAAAAATAATCAAAAAACAATCCAAAAGTAGTCCGGGAACTATTTTTTAAAGTATTTTTTGACCTTTTGGGAAACATTTTGGGGGGTATTCTTCTTTTTTCGTCGAAAATGCCCCTGTAGGGGGACAGGCCCGACTTAAGGCTAGGCAAGCGCGTCCCGCTGCTCGCACGGTCACTGCCCTCGCACACGGCCTGGATCCGCCGCGGGGGACTGGCGACAGATGCCATCGAGGCGAGCGGTGCGCTCCTTCGGACGTCCGCGAGGGGGCACCGCGTGGCGGAGCGCGCTCGGCGAGCGGCGGCGGACCCGGCGGTGAGGCCTCTGCGCATCTCGGGGGCCCCGCGGGGCCCGCCGCCGCGCGGCGCGCGTAACCGAGGGGCGGGGACGGGCGGGCCAGCCACGAAGCGGCTCCCCTCGAGCCGGGGTCCGCGGGGGGAGGGGGGAGGGCGAGCTGCCTCGATCGATCTCACAATCGATCTCACTCGATCTATCTCACAATTGATCTGACTATCGATCTCACAATCGATCTCACAATCGGTATCACATTCGGCCTCATTATCGATCTCACAATCGATATCACAACCGCTCTCACAATCAACGTCATCATCATCATCATCATCATCATCATCATCAACAACAACAACAAAAACAACAACATCAACATCAACATCATCATCACCAACATCATCATAATCGGGACACCGTCCTCATCATCAACACCAACATCATCATCATCACGGTCATCAACATCATCGGGACACCACCATCATCATCAACATCATCATCATCATCATCATCATCATCATCATCATCATCACCATCATCACAATCATCATCATCAACATCATCATCAACAGCAGAATCGGGACACAGTCATCGTCATCATCATCATCAGCAGCAGCACCATCATCGGGACACCATCATGATCACCATCGTTATCATCATCATCAGCATCATCATCATCAGCATCATCATCATCATCGTCATCATCATCATCATCATCATCATCATCATCATCATCATCATCATCATCATCATCATCATCATCGGGACACCATCATCACCATCTCATCCTCATCATCGACATCATCAACATCATCAGCATCATCAACATCATCATCAGCTTCATCATCATCATCGTCATCATCGGGGCACCATCATCATCATCATTACCAACATCAGCATCAACATCATCATCATCATCATCATCATCATCATCATCATCACCATCGGGTCGCCATCATCATCAACATCATCATCACATCACCATCAGAATAATCATCATCATCGGGACGCCATAAACATAATCAACCTCATCTTCATCAACATCATCATCATCATCGGGACACAATCATAATCAGCATCATCAACATCAACATCATCATACTCATCATCATCGGGACACCATCATCGTCATCATCATGATCATCAACATAATCATCATGATCATCATCCTCATCATCGGGACACCATCAGCATCATCATCAACATCGTCATCATCATCATCATCATCATCATCATCATCGATTTCATCATCATCATCATCATCATCATCATCATCATCATCATCATCATCATCATCATCATCATCATCATCATCGGGACACCATCATCATATCATCATCATCGTCCTCATCATCATCATCATCAGCATCACCATCATCATCATCGTCATCATCATCATCAGCAGCATCATCATCAGCATCACCATCATCATCATGATCATCATCATCATCTCATCATCATCTCATCATCATCATCATCATCATCATCATCATCATCATCATCATCATCATCATCATCATCATCATCATCATCATCATCATCATCATCATCATCATCATCATCGCGGGACACCGCGGGACACCGCGGGGCACCGCGGGACACCGCGGGACACCGGCGGGACACCGCGGGACACCGGCGGGACACCGCGGGCCACCGGCCGCCCGGAAGGGAGACATTTGGTCCGGCCGCGCCTCAGCCACAGGAGACTTTTCTCGCCCGCACACGCAGCTTCGCCTCGCCCGTACGCACGGCACGCACGAACACGCAGCCGAAATCGATTTCCCGGTAGGGGGGCTCTCCGTTCCACTTCGATCTCACCCCCTCACCTCCGATCATTATTTTATATATAATATATATATATATATATATATTATATATATATATATATATATCCATAACCACATCCATATCCATATCCATATCCAAATCCAAATCCATATCCATATCCATATCCATACCCACCGCCTGCGAGGTCCCCGAACAATGGATCCTCCAGGCGGGGGTCCTGTACATAAGTTCCGGCCTCGGAGGGAGGGAGGGGGGGGGGGTCAGCTCCTCGTGGCTCCCGAGTTCGGCCCGGCCTCGGCGGGCGGTGGCTCCCAAGCTGGCCCGCCAGGGGAGGGGGCTCGTCGACGTCGCCTGCTCCGGGGTTGCGCCACCTGGGCGGCGCCGGCGGCCTGGAACTGGGCCATCAGCGCGCACTGCAGGCGGTACGTTAGGAGGCAACTACTGGGAAGTTTTCGTCGGGAAGATGACAGAGGATCCAGCCCCATTGGGGGGCTGCTATGCCGGAGTGGGCCTCGGAGGAAGCCGGATTCAGCGAGACGAAGCGGGAGTTTGCCGGATCAAGGGGGACCACGCCGGATCAAGCCGGACTACGCCAGACTTCGGACCAGGGCAAAAACGGAACTTGACCTCCCAGGAGTTGCATCCGAAGGCACGTCTGCGCCAGTTTGCTCCGTCGGGTGCGTCTGCGCCCGCGGCGCGCAGCACGCGGCCCCAGGGTCGGCCGCCGAGGAGCTGCTGGGGGGGGCCCCTGCCGCCGGTGCCCTCGCCCCTGGGCTGCGAGGTGAAGGGAAGATCGGGCCGGGCGAAAAGGAGGGGATAGCAAAGGGGGGGGGGGAGAATCGGCTCACGTAGCTGATTGTCCAGCGCCTGCCAGCGACTCGAGGCGGCTATGTATCGAGGACTGGGCCCGGCGGCGGGGCCGAAACCAGCTGCACGCAGCAGCTTTCGTAACCCCCCCCCTTTCCCTATCCCCCCCCTTCGTCCGGCCCGAGAAGAGGCGAAGGGAAGATCGGGCCGGGCGAAAGGGGGGGATAGCAAAGGGGGGGTTTGAGAATCAGCCCACGCAGCTGATCTTCCGCCCCCTTTCCCTATCCCCCCTTCCGCCCGGCCCGAGGAGAGGGGGGAGCGAGAGGCAGGCAGACGGCGGCTCCGCCAGAGGGGAGCTCCCAGAGCCGGTGCCGGCGCCACGGAGGAGAGGAGGAGCGTCGCAGAGGTCGCGGCCAGAGCCCCCGGCCCCACCCTTCGGCAGCATGTCTGGAGCCGGGTCGACCTGTGCTGCCGCGGAAAGACGAATCCTCCTCCCCCTCCTCCTCCTCCTCCTCCTCCTCCTCCTCCTCCTCCTCCTCCTCCTCCTCCTCCTCCTCCTCCTCTGAAACAACTGTGCTGCCGCTGAAAGACGAAACTCTGAAACAACTGTGTACTCCAGAGTTCGTAAGAAAGGGAGTGGGGTCTCATTTCGGGGGGGGTCTCTTCCAGGCCATCTTGGAGGGCCTCGGGGGGGTCTGGGGACGATGCTTTGGAGGGTTCTCCCACGGGGGGAGGGGGTCTAACACTTCTCGCCTGGGAGGGTTGAGTCCCCCTCCCTTTGTGTTACGAAATCTGGAGTATGAGACACTTCGCACCCCCCATCCGCCCGCCGGCCTTCCCATTGGACGAGCGCTCCCTCGGAAGAGGGGCCAGAAAATCTCTGGAGCCCGTCACCTCGCGCGCGAACACCTGCCAACGTCACGACCGCGAGGGGGGGCAGGGGGAAGTTCCGCCGTCTTCGGGCGCTGCTGCTGCAAAGTCTGGTCCTTCAACCGTGGCAACAGGGACCGACACGGGGCAAAACCGCCGGCTGCGAAAAAGCTGCAGGGCCCAAATTGGGTGTCCCAAAACCGTGTGGTGACAGACCCAGCGGCGACCTCGAAATCCGCAAAATCATCACCGCATGGTCCGTCACCACACGGTTTTGGGGCCCTGGAGGCCCCAACCGCCCGAGACATCCTCGGAAAACGACCCAAGTCCCAAAACCGTGCGGTGACCCCGAACCCCCACCGACTCACCACACGGTGTGGTCACCACCCCGCTTGGGGGCCCCCGACCAGATCTCAGGGACCCCCGTCGAGGCCGATGCCTGCCCCGTGCACCCGGAGCGGAGCGGAGCGGACGGCCGAGCGGCGGGCATCTTCGGCAGCACGTTCTGGCACGCCTCCTTGCTGCACGAAGCGGGCAGCTCGGACAGGAGGCCCTGCCGAGCGCCGGCGGGCGGCGGGGGGGGCGCCCGCCCTGGCGCTGACCGGCTCGCTCTGGCGCGCGGGTACAGTCGGGTCGTTGACCTAAGGAACCCTAAACAAGGAACGAGGCCCCTTTTTCCCATAAGTTCAAGTTCGATATCCTATCGGAGACATAAGGATAACCTGAGGCAAGCTGCGAAACACTTCAGGAACGCGGAGCCCCTCCCCAACGAAAAGGGTTCCTTCTTCAGGGCCCCGACTGTAACACGCGAGCCATGAATTGAGACCCGTGGATCTGGTGCGCGGGCGCCAGATCCACAGAGCGGGGAAGGCACCACCCGGAGCACGAGGCCAGCACCGCCCGCCTCGACGACGGAGCGGGCCGAGGCCCCCCGGGAACGGGACCGACCCGTCGCCGATGCGCGCGCCTCGGTCCCTGCCTGCGCCCCCTCGGGGTGCGGCAGGGAAGGCGCTGGGGCTCCTCGCGCTCGCACCTTCCGCGCCGCACGAGTCAGGAGGGAAAAAAAAAAAAACAGACACAATGAATGTTCGATCCCCCGAAAATGTGGGAAAATATGGGAAGTGGGGGGGGCAGACAAAAGCCCCGAAAATATGGGAAAGTAGGGGGAATATTTTTCTTTGTGTGCATTTATTTGTGTGTGTCCTGGGGCCCCTTCAGTACGTCCTGGTTCTGGTCGTTGGGGCTTGGGTCTGGGCCGCCAGAGGCGCTGCAAGCATGGCGTGCTGCCACAGGATCTCCCGCTCGTGTGGCCCGTCTCTTGCCCTTGAGACGGACTCCTCGTACAGTGCCGTTTTTGATACATGCTCCGCGAGCGGATCACGTATTAAAAAAACGCAGGGATTCAGTACTAAAAACAACGAGTTTATGCATAGATGTTATTTGTGTGCATTGATTTGAGTGTGTCCTGGGGCCCCTTCCACGAGGCACAAAGGCGCGACACGCGTCGCGCGTGGGCGGCCGCCCCCCGTGGCGAGAGGCGAGCCGCCCTGTCCAGCCCAGGGCCAGGGCGTGCATGGAGCGCGGCCGCCTCCGTGTGCCCCCCGCGGGTGACCCGCAGGGCATCGGCGGCGCGCCCCGGGGGGAGATGCCTCCTCCTCCTCCTCCTCCTCCTCCTCCTCCTCCT